AAGTTGAACCAACATGAAAATCACCGAAGAGAAAAATGAGAGCAAAAGTAGCAATGGTTTCTGTGACCTCAATTCCAAAAACGTCATAGAACCTAAATAATAACAAAATGCATTCATTTGCAATTCTCATAAACCTATATTTGATTCACAGTAGGACATAGAAAACATGTTAACTGTTTAAACTGAAAGCATGTACCATTTTAAGGAAAACAAAACAAAACATGGCAACAAGATGACGCAAAAGATTTGGGACTAAATCATTGCATTCTGTTTTTTGTCACACAGCTTCCCATTTATGTTTAAATGTAAAAAAACAAAAAACAAAAAGTCAAATAATTCTAATGTACTAAAACATGTCCTTGACCACTTTGTGTGTCAGATCTGGAGGATGATGTTCGGTGGAAGGTATTTGATTCTGCTGATGGGACTGTTCTCCATCTACACGGGAGCCATTTACAACGAGTGCTTCAGCAAAGGCCTCGCCACCTTCAGCTCGGCCTGGCACGTCGGCCCAATGTTTGAAAAAAACATATGGAAGTAAGAACATTTTCGTATATTCACCCTGGAAACGTATTTGCTTTTTTTTTTTTTTTTTTTCCAACAATGTGTTTATTGAGTTTTTAGTACACACAAAATACAGGTCAAATAAATCATAAACAATAATATAATAAGTAATATTTATTTTCTGTTTACTCCATTTTCAACACACTTTTTTTTTTTTACCTTCGTGGGGTCTCTTGCAGTTCATCGGTGCTGGCAGGGAGCCAGTACTTATCCATGGATCCTGTTGTGCCCGGCGTTTTCACAAGCCCCTATCCATTTGGCATTGACCCGGTGTGCCCATCATATTCATTGTCCTCCAATCAAATATGGACATAAATATGTATATATATGTCTCGATTGTAACTCCAGTTATTCTCTCTGTTGTCGTCAGGTCTGGGGGATGTCCAACAACAAACTAACATTCCTAAACTCTTACAAAATGAAGATGTCAGTCATCATCGGCATTATTCACATGACTTTTGGAGTCTGCTTGTCATTCTTCAACTACTGGTAAATAATCTTTACCCTTTGGTTGCATGTGTTTTGCTTGCACATGTGTTTTGTGTGTTTCAGATTAGCTCTGTGTTACCTTCACATCCTCATGTTCTTATCCTTGTTTCTCCCTGGTTGTTGTTTTTTTCTTTTTCTACAGGCACTTTCGCAAGTTCAGCAGTTTGATTTTTGTGCTGATCCCAGAGCTTTTCTTTATGCTGTTTCTGTTTGGCTACCTGGTGTTCATGGTGGTCTATAAGTGGGTTGCTTACGCTCCTTCTCAGTCCAAAAGTGCTCCCAGCATACTGATCCACTTCATAGACATGTTCCTGTTTACGGAAAACTCTGACAACCCTCCGCTTTATCATGGACAGGTGTGTGCGTCGTTTGTGAGCTTCACTAATAGGAACATATCGGGTTTGCTTTATTCATTTTCTTAGCTTCCCACTTCCCGAAACGTGTGTGTTAGTTGGTCACACTGAGCAGTAGTTATCATGAAATCTTATTATAAACTGAATGATAGTCTTTATGTATGTTGTTACCATATTTACATCTTTCAGTGGTTGTTTGTGGTTTTTATTTTGTGAAAGTCTAGCATGTAAATGCAGCACTGCTTTGGCAGGTCAAACCCCAGATGCCACATCTATTACAAGCACATGAACACAATAAGGGACTTTCCAAATATAGTAATCAGCACTTTAACTGCATTATCAAGCAACAGTGATGTAGTTGTGTGTCTGTTTTGTTTTTTGAATGGCAAAAATGCTGCATTCATTAAGTAGATAAATACATGCAAGCCCTGAACTGAATAAATTAACGGTCAAATGAGGTTAACCTCTTCTCTGTAACTCTGTGTAGGCTATAGTGCAGAAGGTCCTGGTGATACTGGCTCTGTGTTCTGTGCCATTCCTCCTCCTTGGGAAGCCTACGTTTGAATACATTATGTTCAAGAGAAGACAACGTCGAGTCGTGAGTCTGCGTTTGGTTGGATTTTAATTCCTTTTATGTAGCTGCATTTACTTTTCTGACTGATCTTTAATTCTCTGCAGCATCTGGATGAAGACAGGCGTCCACTGGTGTCTGACGAAGGCTCGATCAATGTTCATCAGGGGGAAGTAGAAGGAAGGCCGCTAGTAGAAGAGGTGAGGGTGAAGCTAGAGTAACTAAATTAGTTTACCTGTTTTAATACGGTCTGGTGAACTCCTTTTGTTTTTGTTTTTTTTGTTGTTGTGCTGTCTGTAGGAGTTTGATGTTGCGGATGTGTTCATGCATCAGGCCATCCACACCATCGAGTACTGCTTGGGCTGCATCTCCAACACAGCCTCTTACCTCCGACTCTGGGCTCTCAGCCTGGCACACGCACGTCAGTGGCACTGCACATACAAACACAATGCTTATCTTCATACTCACATGATACACACACACACGAGACTTCCTCTTTTAAAGGAAACTTACTCATACTGTTCTTCTTTTTTTAAATTTTTTTTTTATCCATTTTATTTCTCTAGTTATACACACTCATGTTGTTGTTTTCCAGCCAGCTGTGATTCTCTAACAGTGATTCACTTGTGTCTCCACAGAGCTGTCAGAGGTGCTGTGGGAGATGGTCATGCGTAAGGCGCTGACGTGGCAAGGTTACGTGGGAGCTGTAGTCCTCTTTGTGATTTTCGCCTTCTTCGCTGTGCTGACAGTCTGCATCCTTCTGGTCATGGAGGGGCTCTCAGCATTCTTGCACGCGCTCCGTCTGCACTGGTGAGAATGACAGAAGGGTTGAGACGAAGGGGGAAAATAGCTTTGCTTAACTAAGATTTTTAAAAGAAATAGGCTGTATGATTGGACTGGGTAAAATCCTGAACCACTTTTTAATTTATTTTTTATTTCGGAGTGTGTGTCAGATTTTATGTGTCTGTGCATTGTTTAAGCCAGCAATCCATGGTCACATGTTTTTGTTACATGCTGGTGTAAACATTGCACTCTATTTGCTGTCTGTCGTGTGACAGATGTAGTGAAGGCAATGACTGTGCTAAACAGACTTTACAGCTGCCTCTAGCAATAACCCTGCATGCAAAGTGGAATTTGACTGTAGGAGACACCACCTACAGTATGTAGCATTAATGCTGTAGTTTTCTCAGGATGGTGGTGCTGGAGAAAAGAGTGACTTAACCTTTAGGAACAACAAGTCAGACTATTACCAAAAAAAAGTCCACTGTAGAATAAGAGTATGGTACTTGCTCTGAGGTTTCTGTTTGTTGCTGGAGATTGACTTATGCCCGTCTCTTTCACAGGGTGGAGTTTCAGAACAAGTTCTACAGTGGAGATGGTTACAAACTCACCCCTTTCTCCTTCACATCTATAATAAATGTCTCAAACCCTATATGATCAGCCAACGGGTTATTCAGGGTTGCTAGCAAAGTTAATTTATGTGTCTATGAATCAGAACGACCCTGTCTTAACAACGGTACTCGACCTTTGGTTCCCTTTTGCTATGAAAGGGTTTAGTTAACTTGCACAATGATCGATGAATGATGTACTCTTATTTTTGCATCAGTAGAATGATTCCCTATACGTTAATTTACCACTATATCATATCATATATGAAACATATATTTTGTATCCCCATGCTAATTATTTTTCAAAGTGTAATGTACTGCTTTCTAATTACTCTATCAGTAGCATGAGAAATTGTTGGTAATCATGTGCTTTTCACTCTCTCAACATTTATAATAAGCATCAATTTTGAAAAGGGAAAGTACACTAGTGAATGGATTTGTTTTGCAGTTTAAGGGAAAGTTTAAGTTTTGACCTGAAGTATTAAAGTGCAAGTTCTTTAGAATTCTTCAGATAATGACTTGGATGATTTTTATGAGCCAAAGATTTTCCCACATTGTCATGTCTTCCAACAACACCACACCAAGTATTTATTGATAAATACATTTTTCTCGGGTGCCTTACTAGGACTGTTTGTTTATACATTATGTGTTATGGACAGATGGTGTCTTCTATTGTTAAACCACCACTTTGTACAAAACACTGCAATGGAATGAATTTTCCCCTCCCTGTTTACACTGTAAAATTGAAGAGTTTTCAGCAGAAAATAAATTAAATGTTGAGTTTTATTAAATGAAGCACTTGAAGTATCTGTTGCCAGCCGAGTGATACCATTTATATGCCACAGTACTGTTTTGAGAAGTTACCACAGATGAAAGTACTGTGCAGAAGTCTAGAGGAGCCAACTGTTATTGTTTCATATTTGGCTTCTGAGGAACATTTTTTTGTCTTTAGGTCGTTTTTTCTTAACAGCCTGTGACAAAAAAACCGATTTTTTTTCCCATTTCTTTGATTCTATCCAACATCACACTAAGTATACATTTTATTTTTTGTACCAACAAGGTGATTCTCAGACTGTAGCAGCATAACAATGATCCAAAACACAATAGGACAACTATCAGCCATGGCTAGACAGAGCTTTGTTTGTCCTTCAAGATGTCTGGAAACTATTTGTGAAGACGACTTAAATAAATGACAAAAAAAGCTTGACTAAAAGAGTTCATAGAGTTCAGAGTCATTCCAAATTTTGACTTTCAAGCTCATAAGAATTGTAAAAACTCTGTTATTGTCTAATTTACTGTATTTCCATGTATGTTTTCACGTTTCAATAAATCACTGTACTAATTTCCCATTTTCCTAGTAACATACAGTATAAGGAAATGAGGGGTGGCTCGAGACGTTTGCTCATTAGTGTAAAAGATGTAAATACAACAATGTAACAACAACTCCTACACAAAAGGAGTCTGACATTAAATAATAATAATAACTTATTTTGCAGGGAAGAATCTTCAGATCACTGGTTACTCTTGTTGCCTGATAGTTTTAGTAGAATTAAAAAGTTGTTGGCGTTTCCCACCGTTTTAAGTTCCGGAGTTAGTGTAAACGGAACCTTAAGCGCGTGTTCGGTTTCTATCTGTGCTGTTTCCTAAGTAGCACAGAGTGAACCGGATATTATCGGAATGTCAAAGATGGGACTCCTCATGTAACGGTGGATTTTTCTTGAATAGTTTGTTTGCTTGTTTTTGGCGTCTTACCGGATGGTAACACATTGATTGGACTTTTTATTTGTGAGGGGAGCACTGCTCGGGAGGATATGGCTCTGAGCCAAGTTAGTCGCAGTGTGCGGCTGCTCTTAGGTCAAATTCAACGCTGTCGGCCAGCCCTGCTTTCAAACCAGACGGGTAAGCAAGTAAAGCTAGAAAGCCTTAAACTTTCTATCTGCAGTCATAAAAGTTGACCAGACTCTAATTGTCACACAGCTCGGTGTCTGAGTCAAGCAGCTTCTCAGCCAGAGCCCTCCGCGGATGAAAATGAAGCCGTGAACCCGACCTTTGTAAACAGAAATCCCCGCAACCTGGAGCAGATGGCTCTGGCTGTGAAGGATCGGGGCTGGAAGACAACCTGGCCACACCGGGAGTTCTACCACAGGTCTGTAAAGGTTTAAGTTCTTACTGTGAAATCCAGAATCAGACTGAGTACCACTGTGAGGGTGCATCCTGTTGATTTAAAGTGAAATTAGTCTGTGGAAACAGGTGGTTTCTCTATAACGGAATTCTGGATTCAGACGAATATTGCTCATATATGAAATTGTAAAGGGCTTGTAAAGGGCTTTTACTTTGAAGTCCAAAATCAGAGTAACGTTATACTAACCGAGTAGCACTGCTAGGGTGTCTCTTGTTTATCTAAAATCATAATAAAATACCAGAGTGTTAGAAAAGAAAAAGAGTGAACCAAACGTTAAAAAAGATCAGTATCAAACCAGAAATTTGACATGAGCATGAGAAGTGAAAGCAAAGTTACCCCAAGGTTTCTGATACAAGATTTAGCAAATATCAGAAGGGGACCAATCTGTCAGGGGCACAAACAAGGACTTCAGGTTTTTCTTCATTATTAAGTAGGAGAAAGTTGTCAGCCATCCATCTTTTAATAGCCTAAGCATATATTCAGGATCTGTAGATTATAAAATTCTTGGGCCTTAAAAGACGACCTATAACTGAACTTCGTCTGCATAGCAGTGATAAGAAATGTTCATAAATGTTCAGAAGAGAGAGCAGATATAAAGGCCCCAATACAGAACCTTGTGGGACACCATAGACAGACCCCCCAACATGATTGCATTATAAAAGCTGTAATGTCACATTAGCTGTTGTATTTTTGTTTTTTTCTTCAAATGGCAGTTTTTAAATTTCATTCATATTTTAGTATTCCAGAAATAAATCTAGTTGTGATGAAATAAGCATAGTCGTGATACAGCTTACTGTAATTTAACAACTATTGTTAGTGAGGACTTGTGAATTACTTTCTAACTTTATAGTAACAACTGTTATGAGGTAACACATTGTTAGAAGGTTATACAATAACTATATCAGTGTAATTAGTAATGTAACCAGTTACCTTATCAAACTAAATTACACATTTAAAACGACTTCAGTCTATGAAGGATTATGACTTTGTAACAAGCAGTGACACAGTCATTGTTCTTGAGACGTGGTGGCGCACATGCATTGATCTAAAGAAACAGTCAAAGACACAAAATGAACAGAAAGATATGTTTAAAAGTGTAGCAGTTGTTGGTAACAAAATTCAAAGAGAAATGGAGACAACAGTCATGTGCATCAACCCCACATTGGATCACAGCTTACAGCCTACAAACAAGTATCTATTTATCTAAATTTATTAATTATTTTCTTAAATTAATGTTAAGTTGTATAACTAAAATTGGGAAACAAAGATAACTGTTTTTATATTCACTACTATTATTCTAGATTATACAAATATTCTGTATTTGTTCTACCCCATTGGGTTCAGAACTGTCAGTATGAAAGGACAAAAATGTAATGTAATCAGTCAGGTTGATATGAAACATAGCATATTCATGCATAAAGAACAATTATCTCTATTTAATTTCCTCTCATGCCTGTCATTGTTTCAGGTTGATGTTCTCCCGTAGCCAACACCATGTGACAGCCCAAGTGTTTTCCAGCTGCTCCCCTATTCCGGTGCTTTCTTGTTCGACCAAAGAGTGGGCTGTGAAGAAGGAGCTGGCTTCTACAAACTGCGTGGCAGCCTGTCAGGCTGTGGGCGAGGTGCTGGCGCATCGCTGCCAGCAGGCTGGCATCACCAGGATGGTGTATAGGGTGATTCCCTGGACATACCGCTCAGATTCTGTGAGTACATGCAGCAGGGACTGGAAATAAAGTTACTGTCATTTTCCTTCACTTAGGTAGCCATTTGCTTCACGTCTCTCTCTCTCTCTGGCTTTTCTGTTTTGCAGGTTCAGTCTTTCAGAGCTGCAATGAAAGCAGGAGGAATAATTCTAAGTGAACCCAGAAGGAAATACATTGGGACCTGACTTTAATTCATCAGTCAAATCAGCTGTTCTGTATAAATCTGCTCTTTATCCCCATTACCCCTCTCTTTTGTTAACTATTACTGTGCTGATATTAAGATTACAACTGCTACAGTAAAAAATAGGAATCAAAAGAAGGCTTGTCCCTGTGCCATGTCTCTTTTATATTAAATCAGTCTCCTCTGGTTTATTATTTAATCAAAAAATAAAGGTTCTTGTTTTGAGTACAATAATTTATTTTTTACTCAGGTGCATGTAAACAAGAGTGAGGTGCAGGCAGCAGAGAGTCTGTTACAATAAGGAAATGGATGACAATAAAAACCAATCACTGATCATTTTAATCATAGTACAGTGTGAAGTTGGCTCAGGCGGTGGGAACAGTGTGTTGGGATTATAAAGTGCATGTTTTCTTTTTTCCTCTTTTTTTTTCCCTAATAGTGAGCATGCAGGTTAAATGCTTTCTTTTTTTTAGCTTGGGTTCACTGGATAAAAAGTAATACCAGCATAAAATAAGAAATGTCCTCATCAGCATCTAGTGAAAACAGAACATGGAATAATTTAAGTTGATCCATTCAAAGTCCATATAAATACAAACTCAAACCCTGAACAGTGTCTTCTCACAGGCTGGTATAAAACACAAAACATGCACCCAGGCCATCAGCAATTATGTGACTATATATACTGTAATTGTGCACAAACTTGTAAAGTCACATTTATGATGACAAAAAAGTGGCAAATGGTACAAGAGAAATGCAATATATTACCACCACCTTGTACTTAAGCTAAAACATTAAAAACATCATTACAGAATCACTTTTCATTCTCAGGTTGAAGGCACTCATGTAGCCCTGGAGCCAAAATATAATGGATGAAAATAAAATAGGTGGGAAAGGTTCCTAGCAAACCGACATTTCCTTTAAATATATTGGCACACCGGCACAGAGGAATACAGTTTGGCAAACTGGCGTATGCCATAAAACTAGCCATGACATAATCCATAATGCACAGCTTAGATACAGTGAAATCCTCCATATCTGCACACGGTATGTGTTGTGAGAAGGAGGAAATGAACACTTTCTGCTTTGGGCTGGCAGGATACAGCCTCGTATAAGGAAATTAAAACAGTTATTGCATAGATACCTCTGAAGTGTTGAAAGGAGAGCTTAAAAAAACGGAAGAGGGACTGAGGGAGCTCGGCAGGGACATGCTGGTTCATATATGTTTGGATACCTTCATAAACATAAAACATAATAATACAATAATGCACAATGATTTCAGATATCCTGGCTTTCACTGGTACAGCAATACTGCAGCATGGCCCTTATAAAAATCAACTATCTACTATAGCTTTTATGAGGTGACATATGCAATCCAAGACCTGCAAAATATAAATTAAGACTTTAGGATCATTGTATAAAAACCTTGGCATGTTCCCAGAGCACACGTTCCTTCTTTTCTCCTCTGTGCCTCATTTATAGTTCCTCTTGTACCTCCCTGCTTGTTCATCTTTTTAATCACTTTGCGGCTTGCTTTGGCCCGCGCCCGGCCGGCTGGATGGTTCAGGTGAAACATCCACACATGCTTTCTGGTGAGTGAGACACCGGCGCCCATAGCTACGCCTCCGCTGTCCTGGTGACCGCCTCGGACTGCCAGGCATCTTTGAAAAGAACAAAGTAGGAAAGTACAAAGTTATAACATTGGGATTAATTCTTCAGCAAGAAATCTACTCCACAGATACATCGCAACCCCAAATGCCTCTGAACGCTATGTGACTACCTGACGTAAACCTCGGTCGAAATCTAACTACACGTTGTAGCCGGCGACTACTGTGATTATCCTGCTTCAGTACCGTCAATACCTTCTATTTCTGGCTACTTATTCACAACAGTTTTTTAATTTATCAGTGATGGCATAACAGTCCTCGCTTCAAGATAAGGAATAACAACGAAAGGACTCACAAATGTCAAAACTATTGGAACTGATGTAAGGAAATGTACAAAGTAGACAAAAACTTGACAGATAAATATTTTTAACTGTAACTGTGAGATGATTAGCACCTAAAGCAACACAACCATAAATGCTGCCAAAAATAACGTTGACCCCTGAAGTGGATTACATCATAATCTCTAGAAAGATTCACACAGAAGACTAAATCAGCTACTATTTTGGTAATATAGTTACTGGCAGGACACAAGGTGTGAAAAAGGGGGGATGGAAGGCCTTACAGGTCCTTATATAGAGTCAAACTAAAGATTTTGATTAAAAATGAAACCTAGTTTGGGTGTTTTTCCAATATGTATGTCTGTAGAAATATTAACATAATCACAAGAAGAAAAAGTTGCAATAAAAACGACCTCCAGTGCTACCCCTCAGTCTCCTAGTAGTAATGACAATATAAAAAAATCCTACATCACTTCATTCTTGCGGTGACGACAATGCTCCATCAGCCTTTTACAGCTGAGAGGTAAGAACCATGACTCATATAGTTAAAACCTTATTCATGAGCTATTTCAAACAACAGGCTTCGCTACATGTCCTCAATCTAAATTAGCCATTTCCAAACTGTCAGCTTAACTACAAAGAGGAGGCTAGAGAGACCAGCACTCTGCTTCTTTTACCTGATCATATCCTTTATCCACATCATCCATCTCGCTGATGGACTGCATTAATGAGTAGAGGTTCATTCTGCCACTACGATTAACACTCGGCATGACCTGGAGATTAAAGAGAAGTAAAAAGATGAGTAGCCTTTGATGCACTCTGCGTGAACATATGAGGACAAATGTAGGTCAGGCAGTCTGCTCACCTTTTCTGGTTCATTTACAGTAATCACAGGGCCTGTCTGCACAGGGTCTTGGATAGTGTCAGACTTTGGGGCAGGCTGTTCAAACACCTAGATGAGGTTGATAAGATATAAAGGAGTTAAAGCTGCAAAGGTAAAAAAATAAATAAATCCGGATTTTAAAAAGTGATAAATTGCTCAGGATCTGATTACCTCACAGTCTTCCCCTGAGTCATTTTTTTCATCTGGAATATCTACGCCATCATCCTCATCAAGTCCGTCATCTTCCTCATCATCTTCTTCCTCCTCCTCATCTTCTTCTTCTTCTTCACTTTCGGCTGTCTTTTCTTCCTCCCCTCTTTCCTCGTTTCGAACTGATTTTTGTCTTTGGTCTCTCGACTTTCGCTTCCAGAGAGCACTATGGCGCTGCTGGCTGGAATGATAAATGCACACAGAGCACATTCCTCAACTGAGCTCCCAAACTACAGAGAACAGGAAAAAAAGAGCACTAGGCCTAACCTTGCACTGAGGATGCCGCTGTAGGTCTGGAGCTGCTTCATGAAGCCCTCATTGGGCTTGATGATGGACCGGCGATCCCTGACGTAGGTCAGTGCCACATCCAGTGTCCAGTGCTGCTGCTTCATAGCGTAGGCAATCACTGTAGACGCAGAGCGGGACACGCCCATCTTGCAGTGAACCAACACCGCCTGACCACTCTTCCTGTAATACACAAAGATGAAGACGTAAACTCACACCGTGATTTTGGATTTTACTTAACAAATATTAAGTCGTGAAGGGAGAACTGCTGGGATGTATACACACATGCAAAATAATGCTCGGCAGTAAAACGCTTCTGGTTTGTGAACATGTGGCAGCTTTAAAACTGGCTGAGGAGCTGAACAAATTTAAGATTTGCAGCTTTAATTGTAGGGTAGCTTGGCCTTCTCTCACAGGTTTTGTTTCAAGACTCCAAACTGTAAACTGAAAACACAGAAGCAGTATTTTTCTATTTTCGTTGTGTGAATACTGCCTGTCATGATGTTTCACAACTCAGTCGTCGTTTGTAGACATCATTCACACAGATTAGACTTGAAATGGGAAGCCGAGTCACAGTGTGAACTGCGAAATTGGTGGTTATTCCAATCTTGATGGAATTCAATATTTGAGGAAACGTAGCCTTTCATTTTCTGTTAAAAGTGGGCACAGAGACCGACAACACTCTCAGCAGTATCCATTAAATATGAAGCTGCATGAAGCAAGCATAGCTCATCATAAAGACTGGAAACAGGGGGAAGCACTTCGTCTATAAAGGATTAAAGTAACGCATATAGTGCGCCAGTGCTGCTAAATCTCTCTAACATTTTATATTTTACGCTCACTGGCCACTATATTAAGTACACCGTTCCAACTCCTCGATAATGCAAGATGGATGGAAGAATGGTGATTTCACCACACAAGCATCTCTGGGATTTACAGAGAATGGTCTGGAAAGACAAAATATCAGCTGAGCAGTGGTTCTCTGGATAAAAACGCTTTGTCAGTGTCAGAGGGGATTGCTTAGAGCTGACAGAAAGACAACAGTAATTCAAATAATAAGTTGTTAAAACTAAGGTATGCAGAAGAACATTTCTGAATTTATAACATGTCAGACTGTGAAGACTTGTACAGTCTTGTTGCAGACCATGGGAACATAGTGTACCCAGAGCATCTTCAGCTCTGCCACCTCCACCTCAGCCTTCTGTCTTTTTGTCACTGTCACTGTTAGGCCTCACAACCATCTTGCAAACCTTCCCCTTCACTCTTGCTGCTATCCTTCTTCACAAATAACCCCTGACACTCATCCCCACCCACGAAACCCTGTCTGCACTCTCTTGTGCATTTAAATCATCTACCTTTATTATCTCCACTCCTTTCTTCTTCACCTTTCCACCTGTCTCCCTCTCATTTACAGTATGTCAAAGACAGACCTCTATGGATATTTAGATTCACACATTTCAGCCCCTAACCGAGCTTCTGTCCCACTGGAACAATTACAACCCTTTTTACAAGTCTCGATTTAAAAAGCCTCTGGTACCTTGCAGTGTTGATGAAGTTAAATGTAGCTGGCCAATGGGACAGCAAGTCTGTGGCTTCCACATCGTACACTCTGATGTTCATGTAATTGAAGGACTCTGGGAAAAAGTTGTCAATCTCCCTCGTCACATTCAGAATGTAGCCCACGCTGAAAAACGTGCAGAGACACACTCAGAGCCAGAGCAAAACATAGTGCATAGTGAAATATTACCCTTATAGTGAGTTAATGGGATACAGAGACAGACCACAACACACAGAGCTGCAGAAAGTGTTACAGGTTCAACTACTAACTTGTTTTTCTGCAGCTCCTCAAAGTTAGCTGCGTTCCACTCGGAGCCCTGAAACCATATAAAAACAAAAAAGGTTAAAGAACGGTCAGAGAAGATGAAAAGGAAAGGGCTGACAGAGCCATCTTCCCTATCGCTGTCAACACAGATCTGAAAGGGGAAGTTACAGTCACATGACAACATCCTGGCACTAAAAGCCATGTCAATTTTTTTGACCAAACAAAAGTGGCTGTACATAATATGTCTTTTAACTCTATCTGACCTTTAACAATGACTCACCAGGTATAGATAGTCAAATATTTTGGAGGGCTTGTCCATCTGAGCCATGGTGACCAGGATCTCATTGTCGATGTACTCCTTGTAGGGTCTCATGTCAAAGCCTATCCTGGTCTCCAGGGTAGCGTGCACCTACAGCAGAGAATGAATGCATTTTGTCACATTTTTTCACCTCAGTTATGCTCTAATAATTTGACTTTTTTTTTTTCTAAAACCAACTTCCTGTCTCTAGCTTCCCACACTTCTCACCATTTTGGATGTGAGGTTGTCCAGGTCTTCAGTCCTCATGATGTCTCTCAGGTGTTCTTTGATCAGGATCTCACTGGAAACTCTCTCTGCCGAACTTCCCAGAGAACAAAAGGGAAATTTTAGTACCAACTGGCAGGGAGGCACAAGCAATAAGAACAGTTTCTTATTATTACTACATTAATAGCAACATTAAGCAGTGAAAGTGCCATGTTTAATTAGTCTTTTTGAGGTATTTTCCACTTGATGCTACAGCTGTTCCTTTTTTAAAACATGGGATTTTAAGCACACAACGTTTACGTGTGGTGGATTGTGAATTTTCCAACTCCGGGACCAATAACTTAAAATGATACTTTAGTAAATTATCTTAACGTACATTATTTTTTTCTATCACATCAACTCCCTTGGCTACTACAAATAAAAGCATACCTCTGTCCATCGCTGTCCTTACGGATCGACTCCAGGTCATTCATGACCTCCCACTCATTGAGGCAGTTGCGATCGGACTCGATGTGCCGGTGGTAGTGCCGAGCCCATTCCAGCCCAGAGCCTGGGATCAAAGCTGCCTTGATTGCACGCTCACAGCAGCCATGCAACACCTGCAGCACTGACCTTACAAGAGGAGAGAGGGGAGAGGAAAAGCAAACAGAACATCACTATGTGTATTAACGACTTATCTTGAAATTTAGAGCAAATGAAAGCTATTGATATGCAAAGTGAGCAGCTGGACGCTGCCACAGTGGGGATATAAGCATCACTCACCACATGGTCTGCATGGAAACCGGTTTAAAGATTCTGGTCTCTTTTGCTGAGCTCACGCTAAAGCCACTACAGGAAACACACAGAAATGTGAACGCTCATTATTAAGCCTGACGACGAGAAAGAGAAGAACGAGAAATAAGACAGTAACAGTGTTAAGAAGCATCATTGTGCTACATCACAGTCTGACACACAAGAGAGAAATAATTCAGTGTGATTAGAATTAGTTCTTGTTCTTGTGGAATGAAAACGCGAGGACAGCGATTGATTAGCACAGTTGGAGGTGTGATCCAGCCTGATGAGGGGGAACATACTGGTGTGACATGGCAAACACATTTGGATGACACTAAAGCATGCACGCGCATTTAAAACACAGCAGATTAAGCACTCCATCATGTTAGCCCAACTGTTTTTAAACCCGACACCTCTCAGTTTACTGAGAGATCAGCTCTTCTATCCTTTTTTGAGCATCAGCAGCCCAAACTGTTTTAATCAAGACATAGCCGGCTATTTGAAGACACACTAAATGTGCTGGAATGGACATTTGATGTTCTTCACGCACTACAATGCAGTCAAAGAATAAATTTATTAAGACTTTAAATCAGCTAAACTCACTAACCTTTCAATACACAGTCGCATAAAAAGACTAACCATACTTTACTTTCATTTCATTATTAAAAACACATGACCTCCATGCTTATGCAATGATGTGACTGAGTGACAGGAGCTGTTGTAGTTCACAGAGAATGATTCAACTCCAAAAATAAGGACATTACTCATTCATATTATCTCTGGCCAAAATCCCAGAAATCAGGCTGCACCGTCTGTGCAGCAGCCTACCAATCACTTCCTCACGCTTGCTTTTACACTGAATATAATCCTTAATCCTTCTTTAAAAACATGCTTCTTACCCATCTCCGTCCAGATAAACTTGTGTATTGCTCCATATTGGCAGTACCAGACCGATGGTGCAATGACCACTAGAAACAGAAGGGGAGGACACATACACACAAGACAAAGGAGGAAATTGTACTTGTTAAACCTTAACCAGGAATTATTAACAGAACAGAAATCGTATCTTGTGCAACTGTACACCTTCGTCTTGGTTACACACACCTGTCTGAGTTGGGGAAATCCATGCCCAGCAGGATGCTCTCATGTTTGTTGGCCAGTGTGGAAACCACGATCAGATACCTGACTCTTACTGAGCTAACAGAATCTAACTGCACCGCCTGCATGAAAAGATACACAGAGGGAGGGATGACAGGGAAACACACAACTTGTGAGCACTGTGTTTTACATGCAAAAAAAAAAAAAATAATCATGGTTTTCTTTTTAAGTCTAAAGTTGCCAAATAAGGTTGGGTATTTGCAAGTGGTGTAAAATGTCCTGCGTAGTTTATTTTCTTTGGCCTTAAAGGAAAACTCAAATCAGGGAAGTAAATGTTGTCTTTACAGAGATCATGGCTGGCTCCTGTCTGGTTAAAGGCCTCTACCTATAGTTTTGCTGAAACAAGCTGAAACGAGAAAAGCTACAAGTACAGTTTGTGACTTGGTGCTTTATAAATAAAATTGAATTGAATGAAATTTTGATATGACATAAAAATATCATATCACCATTTCATTGCTATAGCAACACCATGCATTTACATTCCCTAGAGCAAGAATAAGACAAGCCCGGGCACGTCTGAGGGCAAGAGCCACGTGTCCCTGGCAAAATATGCAAGTAAATTGTTCCCACTGAAGGTGGACAGAACAAAAGTTTTTCACCACTTGAGGCAAAAATGCAACCTGGCTATAAAAGTGAAGCAGCTAGTGATGTGCAACACAAAAGTAAACAAATGTCTTACATCAACAATGCTGAAGCAAGCTTCATATGACAGGAAGCAGAAACAGTGGATGGAAATTACTAATATATATTGTTTGGTCAAAGCGATGATACCAATCCAAATGGAAAAGGAGGGCTATAAGCAACTTGTTGAAAAGCTCAACCCAAGAGACAACAACCCAAATGGAAAACATTTTTTAGTTTTCTTATGTGACAATATCATGCTCCCCCTGAAGAGTTGCAAGGTTAAGTTACTTCAGCTGTTATTAACCCAAAGAATAAAACAATTATCTTATACTTTAACTAAAAACTTTTTTAGGACAAACACTACCTGACTTTGCCCCTATTCTGTGTTATAATGCTGCTGCTGGTACATTGTTTCACAATTCAAATTTGGAAAGACAGTAGCTCATTGGAAAGTTTGAAAATGCCTTTCATTTAATTACTCTTAAAAATCCAGCTGCCTGCAAGCATCAATAAAATGTTGTTCCGTATTTTTCTCCATACATCCTCAACAATGTTCTTGTCGCAAATTTGCTTGGAATATTGCGATATACTTTCAAGATTAAATTGCCCACCCATCACACGTGATATTTTACTGATGCTTCCTACCAGGCAGTTTCACACATGCACTGGTGACTGGATATTTTCGGGATCTTATCCAGGAGGAGCTTTATGTGCTGCTAATTTCATAGTACAAAGTCTGTGTGATGCCTTCTTAAGCCAGTTTGAGATTAAGGCAGGTAGTTTTTTGGCTACTATACAGAAAATTAAATGGAAGTATTGAGCCTTTCTTTGTGAATGCTGTCATCAACACCAAATAATAGCTCTGTACATAGCCACAAATTTTCCTATACCATACTATATAAATATTACAAGAATAATATTTACGCAAGTTAGCTTGATGCTAGTGATACTGAGGACCAAAAAGCTGGTAACTCACTGTCTCTAAAGGTTTGTGACTTGTAGTGAGTCACTGAAATTTTCCCTTTAGTCACCTACCCTTTGAAAAAATCAATATGTGCAACAACACTCACCTTTAGGTTGTCTTAACATCATAAGCCATAATATTTACCAAAACTCAACATTTTGGAGTTACGGCCTTTGCCAGTGATACAATCGTATAAGTTTACTTGTTGATCAAAGACAAAAAGTTTCAGTGTGACATTTTTCTGATTTTGCTGATATGATCTGTAAAGACACGAGTCCTCACCAGCTTCACTGTATCTTCTGGTCTGAGGTGTTCAATCATTGCACGGAGATGTGTGTGGCGCATGTCTGGTGCGCCGCTGCTTTGCTTGACAGGAGAAGTCGGGGTGCGAGACATCTCCTGATGAAGGCTCCCGCTCTTGCCATCTTCCAGCAGGAGGACTGCCCCTTTAACGAGGGCAAAGCTCTCTCTACAGAGTTACAGAGAGGAGGTTACTGCTGCAGCCATCAAGTAACTGGTTATTGTCTTTCCTAGGTGTGCAGTTTAGAACTATTTAAATGTCATGTGGGTTACAGCTACCTTTTCTGAAGTCTTCCTCTTCTTTGGAGGCCTTCATCCTTAGAAAATAAATACATTTAAAAAATAAATCTTCATCATCAGGAATCATGAAAAAAAAAAAGTCTGGTTGGTTTGTATGTGTGCAGTTCACCACGTTAACTTTGATTTACCTATAATTACATTTACAAAGCCTGTAATGATTTTGTTAGGCAGGCTGTTGGCAACTACAATAAAGTGAAAATATTTAGCTCCCAAAAGAGGGTCAGAGAAGATGCTGGAGATTCAAATGCTACTTAAAATGAAAAACCTGTTACACAGTGTTTCTAATGCTCTCAGAATTAATTCATTCCAACTTAATAAAAACAACGGTGCTGAAAGAAGCCAACAAATATCCTGGAAACACTAGAAGCACTGTATGTACACATGTATGTACATGTTTGAGTGTGATGTCTTTCCTGTCTAAAATTTGGCCACAGAACAGTGGGGGGGAAAAAAGTTCCTCGGGTGAAATGTGGTACAATACAGATAAGGTGCAGCAGTGAAGAGACAGACACAAAGAGCTAAGTGGCATAGGGGAGGCGGAGTAACATTAAGTAGGTAAACAATGAAATAACAGAAAAAAAATAACAGTAAATGAAAGAGAAATGCAATGCGTAAAGAGGGAAGGGGGAAAAGAAACAAGAGAAGTAGCAGTAGTAACAAGGGTTTACAGAGAAAGAAACTTGAGACAGTAACATTACCTGTTACGCAACTGACAAGTCCAGACAGAGTCAAGAAAAAGAGAAAGAAAAAAAAGAAACAGAAGAGGAGAAGTGGGCAGGAGCCAGGAGCGGAACGATGAGGGTTTGAAGAAGGAAAAAAAAAAGGAGAAAACACAAGTTAAGATAGCAGAGCGTTTAGATTCTGTGACATAAATATGCAAAAAATGAGACTTGGAAGCACAGTAAAGTTATTTATGGTTTAATTTGCAATGATAGAGACCAGAGGGGAAAGCCAGGCCTTTGACATAATGCTGAAAAAAATTTATGATACAGCAGGAGAATGAGAGAAGAGGAGATGTGAGTGACAGAAGCGGATGATAGAGTATTGATGCAGTGGGCCTTTATATGCAAGTGATTTAATCACTATCTGACAATGCTTTAACAAGAGTTATATCTGTGGTATTTCTACCATGTAAGCCTATCAGTGCGATCACATCCGTGTCTACAAGTGAAAAACAAATCTGCCTTGTTATCATTCAGGCAAATGTAGTGATGATATCCACAAAGGGACACATTCAGGAGCCACTGCAGTTCACGCCGACCTTTTCAGGGGCTGGCATGAATGGCTTGTAGTCAACGTTCTGAATCATTCTTTATAAAAGAAAAGTAAACAACATAATATCTGCTGACACGATGCAAAATGTTTGTGTACAGCAAAACGGGGAGATAACTGAACTCACTGGCGTGGTGGAAATGGATGGGATCCTATGCAGGGTCAACAGAGCCATTGTGCAGGTCCGTCTGCACTTAACCTGCTGTTTCTTGCAGACCTAGACAGGCTCTGCTGGTTCCTCAGCCAAAACTGTGCCGTGGGTGGGGTCAGTACTAGTATTATTTTCTGAAATGAAACATGGATGTTTGGAATGCAGTTTCGTTCAATAAATAAGCTTGGTATCAGTGTGGTTTTAGGAAGTCAGGAAAAATTGCTGCTGAACCATTTTCACAAATCCAGGTAAAGCGTAGTTGTGCAATATGAGGAAATACAATATCCAAATATATATATATATATATATATATATATATATACACTCCACCACACATATATATATATATATATATATATATATATATATATATATTATATATATATATATATATACACATATATAAATGATTCATGAAGCAATTAGGGCTGCCACAAACGATTATTTTGATAGTCGACTAGTCACCGATTATTTATGCGATTAGTCGACTAATCAGATCATCATCCACTGGACGTAAAACTACAGCTTATTGCACCAGCAGCATCTGCTCTTATATAACTATCATTAGCTTACAGCTTTAAGCTTTTAAGGTGCTAACTAAAAATAAAGACAAGATGATAGTTTATTCAATTTTAATGAAATTTGCAGATTGTTTCGGTAAAGTTTAATAAACTCCTTGCTATCTAAAATATAACAGGACACCGGAGTATATTCTCCAGCATCTCACACTTCTGATAATCAGCTGTCTGCTTGACGTTTATTCAGCTGTGTAAAAACTATAACTTTAATCTCAGCCAAACCGATTTACTCAGGAACAAATAAAATACTAAAAAAAAAAAAACAAAAACCAAACAACAACATTTTTAATTTATCTAAGTGACTCATATATATTTAACCTGAGTCGCGAAAGACGGCGGTGGGTTTGAAAACAATTTGCCGGGAGTCCGGTGTTCTCACGGCGCTAGTGACCTAGCCCCCGGCTAGCTATCGAGCTAGTGGGTAACAGACGTCTCCGAAAACGTCGGAGCGCTTTTGAAAATATGTGGTGTCTTGATAAACTGAGCAGATATTTGAGGTTTACACAGCTACATTCTCGCCTGAAAATATGTTAAACGTTTATTTTGTGACCCAGAAAGAATAATAAGAGTAATATTAAAACTAACTAGCTACCGCCATTGTTGGAAACTAAGCTGGGCCGCGCTATGAATTCTGGGACACAGCTGCTTCTTCTTCTTCTTCGGGGTTTAACGGCAGCTGGCATCCTTGTACATGCAGTGCTGCCATCTTCTGTTTCAGTCCGTTATTACACTCTTAAATCCTGCTATTATTCCTGCGTCTTTTGCGATCTTACAAAGCTTCAAACGACACGTCGACTATTAAATCAGTCGTCGACGATTTTGATAGTCGACGTAATCGTGACTAGTCGACAAATCGTGGCAGCCCTAATATATATATATATATATAAATATATATATATATATATAATATATACATCACGTGCTGTCATATTTCTGTACGGATTACACCACTAATGGCAAACCATGGCTATATTTACAACATCTTACCATAATTGACTTAAAGTACCAAGAACTTTCAGCAATATCTAAAAACAGCATGCTCATCTAATTATTCTATATATAAAAAACGTCATGTTTTATAGATTGTAACTTTTAATAACAATGGATCAATTACCACCATTCCTCCCACAGAAATCAAACGGCATGACTTTAGCGCTGCAAAACCCCCTATTGTGTACATAACAACACGAACACGATTAGAAGTAGCCACAAAAACAACACTGCAAATGGCATTATATTAAAACTGATAAACCGATAACTGAGCGTCATGCTCGTTAGTTTTGTGCTGAAACATGCAGTCTATATAAGGATGTGGCTGGGGTAAAAAAATATATATCGGCCAATAAAGATTAAACAGAAATTTAGATAACTGCTGGTTCTCCGTGGTTTGCAGGTTCAGACGCGTTCAGCGTAAATGGTGTTGAAGTTAAAAGCATATTGAAGTTAAACTACTAGAAAAAAAAGAGAGAGAGAGAGAGAGCCTCTTGCCGCTACCTTGGCTCTATTATTGACACATGAACACCGCGGTAACGCCTTCGTAATATGACAGCAAATATGCGATACGGCTTCAGCTCGGTGCATGCGGACAATAAAGTTATTTCTTTCCTGGAGCTGCTATCGAGTGAGTTATCGTAACTACATGGTTGTAATACTGACAGACGGGCTCGACGCAAAGAGTAGCTCCTTTTGCAGTGATCACAAACAAGCTAGCAGTAATATGTAGCCTCTTACAGCCAGTCTTGGCATTCAACAGATAACCTCTAAAGCCTCAAGAAGGGCTTTTTCTTACCTCTCCAAGCTGGGTCCTCACTCTAATTTCCTGCTTCGGAGCCTGCTTGTTTTCCTTCCGTACCGAGAGCTCCTTATTCCGCCCTCTGTTGCTTTCTGAGGGTGAGGACTTGACCATTTACAGAGCGCAGAGGCTACTCCTCTGGAGAGTTTTTTTTTTTTTTTTAAACCAGCGAGCGAAGAGCAGCGTCGCGCGGAGAGAGCGAGCAGGAGGAGACGGTGACGTCTTACGCAAGCAAATTGTTCAGGCGCGTGAAGAAAATTATGCGTCTAGTTCATGTCTAGTCCACGAGTCTCTGGAGCAGTAGGCTGAAAGATTTTGCACGTTTTGCTTTTGCTGTGCTGCTGCAGAATCAAATAAATATGAAGCAGCAAAAGAGGAAATATTAAGTCAAACGGTTTGCACGCGGTAAGTGCATTTCACTGTAGGGGGCAGCATTGAGCTTATAGGGTGAGTCCCAACAAACTGCATGTGCTGGACATGACGCTAACAGGGAGAAATCATTTTGGATATACAGTGGATATACGTTTTGAGCCACTCCTTATTTAACAAATAATCTCTATATTTTAGGATAGATGGTAGGTGTTTCTTTTTAATATTTTCTTGGGACCATTTTGCCTTTATTTGACTTGTAGCGATAGTGGAGACAGACAAAAAGCTTGGGGGGGGGGGGGACACAGCAAAGGGTCACAGGTCTGATTCAAACCTGGGCCACTGCCTTCTGGCCTGCTCGCCCAGTGAGCTAACCTGAATCATTTCTGTCTTTTAACTTTAGCATGCAGTTGTGTGAATTAATTCTTTAATTTTTATTAAACTAAAAACATACTTGAAGCATCCATTATTTAAAAAAAACAATTGTCTGAGTTTTTTGGGTTGATTGTCAGGTCTATTTTATTTATAGCTTATAGCACATTTAACCAACATAAGCTGTTTGATTATGAATTTATATACACATGCCTGTAATGAGGATCCCCGGGGGAAAAAACTTTACAGTTGTGTACTTTGATATTACAATGCGCATGCGTTTTACGACCACAGTTTATTGTTATGGTTTTGTCCACTCCTTTCATTTTCATCCCGCCAGGTGGCAAGGGGTAAAATCGGAAGAGTGATGTAAACATTCCTTTGCTGGGATTCCTGTATGATAATCCTGTTATTGTACCCCCAAAAATGAATAAAAACACGTGGAAGCAGGCTTTGAACTCTAACCAATAAGATAACAGGCAGATGGATACATGTCTTTTATGGCTATCATTAAATTTTATTCGAATTGTATGGGAAAAGAAGTAGCGAGTCAAGTATCTGCACCCAGTCCCTACCACGCAGGCGCAGTGGTGCGAGTTTGACTACTTCCTGGCGTCTCGAGAGTAGCCCGGGCTCTGCTGACGTTGAAGGTTAAAAGCTTCAAGTTTCAGTCTTGAGTGTGCAGGTTTTCTGTCGTTAAAGTGGGATGCAGTCAGCGGGAAAACTCATGAAGGTTTTCATAACGAGGCGCATCCCGCAAGAGGGGCTGAAGATCCTGTCAGCGGCTGGAGTGTACGAAGTGTTTTTGTGTGTGAATGAACAGCAAGCTGTCGTTAACAGTGTTGTGCAGATCGGCTCATGCACGCTGTGATTCATGTTTATACACTCCTGTTGCCACACCATTACTCGAAGTTTTCTCTGCTTGCACAAGCTAGCCTGCATGTTTGAATGGCATGCTACTTCATGCATCTCGTTCTTGTCGTGTCTCGTTGGAAGCAGGTGTGAGGTGTCTCAGTGGGACTCCGATGAGCCTGTTCCGAGGGCAGACCTTCTCAAAGGTATTCAGGGGGCTCACGGTCTTCTGTGCCTGCTGTCGGACAAGATCGATGCTGAGGTCCTGGAGGCTGCAGGTACGCACTGCCCTCAGGTGGTAGGGTGACCAGATCTAAGCAGACTAAATAAACAGTATGAGTGTGGGTGATTTTTAATAATGCTTTTGATATATTTATCACCAGAAAAAATAGTTTTTCCTATCTCCCTCTTTCTGCTAATCACCTCATGTGTGTTTTCCTAACTTTCATTCCCTGAGGGACCGTGGGGGTCAGGAAATATAAATGCTGTGCATTCCCACACAAAGTGGGGCACTTGATTACCCTGTGTAGTAGTACTGATTTGGATCTGTCTGTCAGGGTCTGTAGTACACTGGAATGGACAGGAGGCCAACTTTAACATGGGGGGGTTAGACTCCAACACGCTATACAAGATTACAACCATACACTGTACACTCATAGAGAAATGTTTAAAAAGTTAAAACTAGCCGCTCAAGCACCTGTTTTTGGTTTCAAAGGGTTGCTGGAAGTCTGAGCTGGAAAGGCCTGTCCATTCAGCCACCTCAGCCATGCTTTGTTACCACAACTGCTGCAGAAGCAGTAAACTACTTTAAACCATGTGCATGAGTTAGTGTAACCTGTAGTTCAAGTGTATCAGTAGAATTCTGCTGAGGGGGGACAGTGACTTTATTTATCAGGCCTGAACCCCTTAGGTCTGTCCATAATCACTGTTAATCATCCAGCTTATATTGTCTGGATGAAGATGGCCATTTTGTTGCTTTTAACCTCGGGATTTGATTACATTTATTTGACAGCTACGTGACTGCTTAGCTGTTTTGTCTTTGATTTCAGGGCCGAACTTGAAAGTGATCAGCACGCTGTCTGTGGGATTCGACCACCTAGCCATCGATGAGATCAAAAAACGGTGAACCAACTGAACTTCACTTTTAACCAATAACAGGACACACTATATGCCTCCTCAGTTATACCTATGTTTTGTTTTCAACAGTGGTATTCGTGTTGGATACACCCCGGATGTCCTGACTGATGCCACAGCAGAGCTGACTGTGGCTCTGCTGCTGGCCACCGCTCGCAGATTACCAGAGGGAGTGGAGGAGGTGAAAAAGTCAGTCTCACCTCAACGGTTGTTTCTCTAACCGTTCAGCTCAAATTGCTGATATTAGTTATACAGTGATCACACTTTTTCTTCCCGTAAGTGGTGGCTGGAGCTCATGGAAACCTCTCTGGCTGTGTGGTTACGGTCTTTCTGGCAGCACTGTAGGAGTCATTGGACTGGGACGCATAGGTTGACTTTATAACCATATCTAATTTGCAAAGTCTGATCAGATTTTCCTCCTAGCATTTAAGACTTGATGGTAGTTGAATAACTGCTTGTGTTCGTGTGCAGGCATGGCCATAGCTCAGAGACTCATGCCATTCGGAGTAAAGAGACTTCTATACTCTGGGAGAACAGCCAAGCCGCACGCTGCTGAAGTGAACGGAGAGTTTGGTAAGGAATGAATAGAGAAATGCACACAGCGAGAGGGGGATGATAAAGCACAGCAAGGTAGAAAGGGGAGGGCAGTAGTTGTAAACCTAATTTAACCCTGTTTCCAAAGGCATGTGGACACAAAATGTGAATTATACAGAATGCAATGTGTTGCACATCAGTTAAACCCCACATTTAACTGTAAATGGCTGGATTGAAACAAAGAAACTACAGTGAAGATGGCATCTGAGCTCTTGTGCAAATTTACACACAAGGCCTGTCCAAAGGTTTTATTCCTGGCAATTAATGATGTAGATTTAATACGTGGTAGATTTAATGGATGGATAGATGGAATAGAGTAGAATAGAAAAATAAAGATCAAATCACAGTACTCTCAAGTTGCTGAAGGGATTAAATAAATTAGGATAACACCATCTTACATCATCACTAATACACCCACAAGCCTTGGTATTTCCATCATCTTTAGATGTGACAATAAGTGTAACATATTTACTTTTACTGCAGATTTCTGTCTGTGATAAATGCAGCGCTGCCCAAGGGCCCAGAGATCACAGACACAGCCTTGTCCCTTGTTTTGTGAAGCAGACGTGATTATTGTACTTTTAATGTTTTGTGTGTAGTGTTTACAGAGTGCTGAACCTCTCTGTCTCAGTTTTACTCACATCCTCTTTTTTTATACCCAGTCAGGCCTTTTGTTCCTCTCCTTTTAAAGGCGATGCTGGCACTGGAAGCAAACACTTTACAACAAACAGGATGCGTGTTCTCATATAGGGCTTAAATTGCTTTATATCCTTATTTACATTGTACATAACAATTTTTGGAGGAGTACATTCACATTTATATTCCAACAAACTGGGTTTTGGGAAAGACGTTCATTCAAAACAATAATGAAGTGATGTGGATGAAAAGAATAAGTCACGGTCGGGTACATGATCAGTGTTGGCTTCATAGTTTCATAGTGGATATTTTATTGATTGTTAATCTACGTGTTTGTCCTGTGTCACCTCTTCTGTTGATCAGTTCCCCTGGACACACTTGTGTCTGAGAGCGACTTCATTGTTGTTTCCTGCTCCCTGACACCAGAAACCCAGGGCATGTGCGACAAGAGTTTCTTCAGCAAGATGAAACCCACCGCAGTCTTCATCAATACTAGCAGGTACTTTTTCTTTTTTTTTTTTGTACTTTTTTAATAACAATAAATCCCCATCATCATACAGTGAATTATTTGATTTAGGGGGGCTGTGGTGAATCAGGAGCATCTATATGAGGCACTGAGCAGTGGACAGATAGCCGCAGCTGGACTGGATGTCACAACACCTGAGCCACTTCCAACAAACCACCAGCTTCTCACGCTAAAGAACTGCGGTGAGCAGAAAGCTTGTTCCCCGCGTAGATGTCTGCTTCTGACCTCTAATGTTTAATTTACTGTTTAAAAAATATTTTCTGTCCTGTTTTTATCCCATGCAGTGGTGTTACCTCACATTGGCAGTGCCACCTACTCCACGAGAGGCGTCATGTCGGCGTTGGCAGCGCAAAACCTGCTGGGTGGTCTGCAGGGCACAGACATGCCCAGTGAACTCACCCTCTAAGAGCCTCAAAGTGAGCCGCTGTGCCTCTTCTGCTGACAGCAGAAAACAATAATGAAGTGATGTGGATGAAAAGAATAGTAAGAATGTAGTTCAGTCACGGTCGGCGACATGATCAGTGTTGGCTTCATAGTTTCACTTTAATCTGTCATTTTTGACACCGATAGCACTTGTTATATTCATTGTGCATTTTTGAGGAAGGAAATGATCGGTGCATTTTTGTGAAATATATTCAAGTACTTAATGGCCTAAATAACAAACCATCGGCCCTTGTTAACCCTAAAACTTCTCAAAATACACTATAATGTATTCTTAAAACTCATCTCCCCCATTTTAAAATGCAATATTTACCATGATGAACTTACTTATCTGCACTTTCTCTGCTAATACTTCATGTCTCCCGTTACTGAAACAGCATAACACTCCAGTTTTTGTAA